AATATAGAAAGACAGTCACTCTCATAACCTCCGGAAGAGGCTTGTCCTGAAGACGAAATCTCCAGTAAATTACACGTGCACTTGATAATCATAATATTAGAGGTGCGGAACGACCAAATCCCATTGTTAAGGAAAATGACGAGGATTTGGTTGACATAAAATAAGAATTAAAGTGGCCATGAATTTGTGAAAAAGGAGAAATATATAATAGAAATATAAAAGTTGTTGACAACATAGTTGCCTCTACAGTTGCTCTTACTATCTCGGAAAATAATATGGATCCAGAATCTAAGTCGGTAGCAGAGTGCTTGAAGCACTCGGACTAGGTGAGATGGAAAGTGGCAATTGAGGCTGAGCTGAACTCGCTAAAGTATTTTGAACCTGTAGTCCATATATCCCTGCAGGATATAAATGGGTCTTCGTAAGAAAAATAAATGAGAATTATAAGGTGGTAAGATATAAAGCGAGATTCCTAGCTCAATGGGTTCACGCAGAGACCCGACATCGATTTAGATATAAAATATTCTCCTATTAGTGATTGTATTACGTTCCGCAAGTTAATACCTATGGCAGAAACTATAAATTTATATATGCAATATATGTACGTCATGACCACATTTTTATATGTGTCATTAGACGCTAATATTTTTATATGAAAGTCCCTGATGGACTTAAAATTCCTGAATTGAGAGAAAACGAGAATCGCAACATGTATTACATTAAATTACAAAGGTTGTTATACGACTTGAAACAGTCGAGTAGAATGTGGTATAACCGACTGAGTGAGTTCTTCCTAAAGAAGAGATATACAAATAATAATGTCTACCCTTATGTGTTTATAAAGAAATTCGAAAATGGCTTCTAAGGACAATGTACTAGTTGAAACCACTCAGAGATTGTTCCTCTATATGTGCCCCATGCGAACGTGTAAGGTTAAAATCGCTGATAAAACACATTCGATGATCGTGTGACATATTAAACGAGGATATTATCCCCGCTGTCTTTTCTAAGGACAATGTAACTTGTGTTGCATAAATGATATGTAGAAAATTTTTATCCACTTGCACTAAAAAATAACAATGAAATTAACATAGATAAGTTCGCTCTAAGTAGTGACAATCTAGACAATTTGATCACCAAATCCCTTACTACATCAATTTTTAATTTTATGGTATTGTGCTTGGCCATCACGGTATGCATAGACTTGAATGTTTGTTGTCTTGAGGGGGAGCGAATTATTTTTCAGAATAATCTTGAAGATCAAACCCCGAAGACGGTGACTGTACTATTTTTTCCTTAGCTAAGTTTTTGTCCCCCTGAGTTTTCTTAGCCAAAGGTTTTTAACGAGGCAGCTAATACAACACAAGTTTGGATCCCGAAGATCTATAGTTGTACTCTTTTTTTCTTTGCTAAATTTTTGTCCTACATAGTTTTTCTTAGCGAAAGGTTTTTAATGAGACAACTGATGTAACAGAAATAATGTATGTATGTCATGTACTCTTTTCCTCGACTAGTTTTTCCCACTGGGTTTTTTCTAGTGAGGTTTTTAACGAGGCATTGACATCACGAAATAATGTCCAAGGGGGAGTGTTGAAATCTAGAAGATAAGATGAATGTGGATATTACTTGAATATGGACAATTAATTAGGTGACTCTTCATTAGCACATGTCCTTTAGTCTTCTTATTATCCATCTATATAATGTATGTCATGGACTACAAAATGGATGGAGAAATGAAGATGAATAAAATGAGATGATCACTTTCTCCATATCTCTTCTCTTCTCTATTTATTTACATTTACATTTCATGTTTGATTCTTAATTTTGATATATATGATGTATGTAGATATAACAACAAGATTACAACATAATTTTTTTTTGAGAAAAGAGAGAATTAAGAAAATTGACTTTCTATTTACGTCTTTTTCTAAAAAATTGATTTAGGGACATTTAGAAAAAGGAGAAGACCCGAACTATCTTGCTACATCAACAAGCAGGAGTGAATTAATCTCCATTGGACTTTGTACAAAAAATATATTTTTAAGGGTAAGTTCCAGAAAACCCCCTTAACTTTGGATGATTGTCGGAAAACTCTCCTTAACTTTCAAAACATAAAAAACCCTTTAATTTAATGGTTTGTCACAAAACCCCTTTAACTTTCCGATTTTATTAGAAAACCTCCTTTAATTTTGAATTTAGGGGGTTCTTGACAAAATCTCAAAGATAAAAGTAGTTCTCTGATAACCCCTAAACTTATGGTGGTTTTCTGAAAATTTAAAAGTTAAGAAGGGTTTTCTGTAACTGTCCTTGTTTTTGTGTTTGTTTGGGGTGGTTTTTTTTTTCTTTTTTTGGAATTGGTGGT